TCCTCTCACTGGGAACCACTGAAAAGAGTCTGGCTCCCTCCTCCTTCAACCCTCCCTTGAGATACTTGTAGGCATTGATAAGGTCTCCCCTCAGCCTTCTCTTCTCCAGACTAAAGAGTCCCAGCTCTCTCAGCTTCTCCTCATAAGGGAGATGCTCCAATCCTTGAATCATCTTTGTTGCCCTTCGCTGGACTCTTTCTAGTAGTTCCCTGTCCATGTTCCATTTCTTGCAGCTAATGGACCTATCAACGGACTAGATGTCTATCCCACCCTCTGCTTGCAAGGTCCCCAGGAACCCACTGAACACAGACCCTCCTCAGCTTATTTCTAACTCCAAATACTCACTTGGCCCCAAGGTTGCCCTTGATGATGGGGGCAGTCACCACGCTCTTGCCTTTCACGGGCTGGCTGATCACCGACAGGGGCACCGTGATCCGTGCTGGCAGCTTGCCCTAGAGAAGTTGAAGAACACGTGAGGATCCGTGGGGAGTTCAGCAGAGAAACTGCTTGAAATCATGCAATTACCCACTCAGCTTGGTTTTCAGGAGTCCTGGGAGTAGAAACCACCAGCAGCTTTGCTGATGAAATCTGTCCTCCGTTTCAGGCTCGTTAAAATTCACCTCCATCTCATTCCCTTCCTGAAAACCTGCATCATCTTGGCACCACAGTATTTCTCTGGGAAGGCTCACTGCATCCATCCATGATTTATATCCTTAGGAAGGTCTGGTAATTGTCAATTAGCTCCTTCAGCTTTTCTGATACAGTTTATGGTGCCTTCATGATACAGCTTACGGTGCCTTCAGCTTTGGACATTGTATTAATTAATTGGGACACGTGTAAACGGGGAATTGGGTAAAAAAGTTAATAGGAGTAAGAAGCACTTCTATTTCTGACACAGAATCCCAGAATCTTCTAGGTTGGAAGGGACCTTCAAGATCATCTTGTCCAACCGTCAACCTCACTGACAAAAATAGACACCCACACAACAAACAAGGAGCATCATCACTAAACCATCCCTCCCAGCACTACATCAACCCGTCTTTTGAACACCTTTCCAAGGAAAATGATTTCAGAGGTGTGGGGGGGTGAGACGCTGAGCTGCACGAGGTAGGACTTGAGATAAGCAAAGTTTATTTCATTTACTCACAAGAGGAAATAAGGGAAGACGTATCTGACTTGTCATTCAGCTTTTAGCTACCAAGTCCATCCAATTAGTCGCAGACCCACAGGGGAGGTTTAGACTGAACATTAGGAAGGAATTTTTCACTGAAAGAGTGGTCGGGCATTGGAACAGGCTGCCCAGGGAGGGGGGTGGAGTCACCGTCCCTGGACAAAGATGGTGAGGGGTCTGGAGAATAAGTCTTATGAGGAGAGGCTGAGGGAGCTGGGGTTATTCAGCCTGGAGAAGAGGAGGGTGAGGGGAGACATTCTTGCTCTCTACAACTCCCTGAAAGGAGGGTGTAGAGAGGTGGGGGTCGGTCTCTTTTCTCAAGTCACAGGCGACAGGACAAGAGGAAATGGCCTCAAGTTGCCCCAGGGGAGGTTCAGGCTGGATATTAGGAAAAAA